GCTTTTCAAAGTTCTTGCCAACCCTGCCTGTTGTCCGATTTGCATCAGCGTTCGAGCATTGTAGGTAGCCAGCTTGAACGCAGCACGCGGTTTCAGGATATCTGTGTTAGAAGACACATTGGGAACAACCATTTTGAGGACTACTCACTAACATCTCGAAACGACACGGATAGGCTGGGAATCTCGACAAAGGCGAAAGGCTGTCGAAGGTTAAGAAGCCAAGGTTAGCAAAGGTAAAATACAGGAAACTATGTGTAAAAATAAAAGTAAGATAGGAAGGAAATAAGTTGCTTCAGGGATCAGTATTGCTTGGAATCATTTTTACTAGCGCGCGTTGAGTTTCAATGAGAGTTCATTGCTTCAATTCATTCATTGTGTGCGGGCTGAGATACTGCCCGGGCGCCCAGACCGAAGCAGGTGGTTTTATTAAGGGACCACCCCCCGAGCCTTTGACTTGGAGTCTAATCCGCAAGGCAGCGGAGCAGCGTCAGGTGCTGCATTTCCATGGTTGCCGGTGACCCATATGGGTTCATACGCCATTCGATCCAATTGGAAACTGGAGCATATGTACCCCATAGTAACTGCTTTTAGTTTAACCGCTATCCAGAAAACCTCCCTGACATGGTAGGACCTGCAGGGACATGAGTCCCAGTCAGTTCAGCTTCTTGGGTCATTGCGGTATTTAAGCCCGACCACCACGACAAGGTAGCAGTTATCGGCCGGGGAATATTTATCTATTAAACCACACAGTATTTTTGGTACAAGTATGGAATTTTCAGCATATGATATCATAGATATCGGGTGTGCGTCGGCAGGGAATCGAACCTCGGACCATGTGCATGGTCGGTGAGAGTCCTAACCGCTGTGCCACCGACGCACATTCGCGCCCAGGCCATTGCTCAAGTGGAATCCGAATGGGTAACGACGAGTAGGGCGTGTGTGTTTACGAGGGTTGACTGCAGGAGGAGGAGATGACAGCCTATGGAGAATCGTTGACTCAGCTAAAGAGGACTGCAGGAAAGGCGACAAAATAAGGGAGACGTGTTGTTGAAGCCCAATGTTCTACTCTGGGTCCCAGAAAATAATAATATAATACTACCTAACATGTGTAGTTATTACTTTTTGTATGATCTACTGATGTCTCAGAATAATTCAAAGTGTTAACGCATTGTTCTCAATACTGATTTGATAAGTCGGTCGAGAGAAAGACACCTAAGTTTCACAATATCACACTACTGATATAAGTATAAAACTTGGGCACTGTGGTGGCTGAGTATAACCCCATTATAGATAAGCTTTTTATCTTGATAAGTCACAGTGTTATACAGTAATATTAACTGATGCGACCACGTTTCAAGCACAAACTATTGCCACTCATAATCATATCAAGACATTACTCACACAAATTTTTTTTCATTTATATACATGTGTGGAATAAATCAAAAACCAACGCATTCAGCTAATAGATATTTTAACTTTAATTGATCTCATCAGTTAACTGTTAAGGCAGGCTTAGTTTAGTGTCTAACAAACGGAGCAATAGCACTAAGTAGCACCAGAAAAGACCTAAATGATGAAATAAAACAGACAAAAGGAGAAGTAGCGTTGATGTCAAATAACTAACTATCCTATATAATTCATTAGGAAGATTGAAAAACGCCAAAAGCAAAATAAAAATAATTGTGAAACTAGTAATGATAACATAAATAAGAGAGAATATAAGTCATCTACAGTTATACCATATAAAGAGAGGACATCTGAGACCCTACGTAGGATTCTAAATAAAGCAGGAATTAGCCTGGTGGCATTTAAACCTACAAACTCACTCAGGTAGGACAAGCTCTGTAGGTTAAATGACCCTGTCGGTTGACCCAATTAAGTGAAACAATATCATGTACAAAATACCCTGCAATGACTGTGAATTCAATTACATAGGTCAAACTAGTAGATCGGGGGTAATCAGATTGTCGGAACATAAGAATTTAGCTAAGGTAAGAATGGTTGACTCCGAGAAGATAACTAATTTAGAAAACAGCTCAGCAATTGCACTACGTGCATCAACTTACAACCACACAATAGGGTGAGAGGGGGGTTAAAATTCTAAAACGTAATATGAGTAGGTGGAGAGAGAGATTGATAACTGAATCCTGCCTGGTTTATTGAGACTACACCCAAAACATGCAAGAGAAATGACTCAGTGCAAATACCAGAAATATGGAAGATATTATTACCGCCGGTCAAATCAGAGGAGGATAATAAATAATCTCAAAATTCTATTTTAATTCAATTCACGTACATCATAACAGTATAACAAGTTACTTATTTCGACTATAAAAACACTCGTCTTATTTCCCATCTTATTGTTGTAATTGATGAATAACACTCATATTATTATTATTATTATTTCTGAATGTACATTATCCTATATTACTGATTTTATTCAAATGTCGAATAATCAATTCCACACATGTATATAAATGAAGGAAAAAGTTGTGTGAGTGAGTGACTTGATATGATTATGAATGGCAATAATAAGTTGTGCTCGAAACGTGGTCATCAGTTAATATCATTGTATAACACTGTGTGACTTATACAAATAAAAATCTTGTCTATAATGAGGGGCCACAGTACGCATAAGCTACTCCGTTTGTATTGTAAGGAATTCTCACTACTTTGATTTATGCATTTTTATTTCACCAGGGTTGTAATTCTAATAAAATATTTGAGAAAAAAACAATGCGAAGGAGACACACTTAAATCATCTGGTAAGGTGAATTCTACTTGCAACTTCCTCATTGCTCAGTTTTTGTATCCTCACTTATTTTGACTGGCAGTTGTAATATTACTAAGGTTCTATATGTAATTTGATTTAGATTTTTCCGTCGATTGTAATTGAGCCCCGAAGTGCTTGGTTTCAAGTTGACATGTTAGCTCCTTGTGTGGAGATGCTTCGGAACAATTTAACTTGCCTACAGCCAAACTAAACCTCCCAGCCGCCATCCAGGACACACCTGAATGGGATGTAGACACTGGTCTGCCGTCTGTAAGTGAGGTCACAAAAGGTATCTGTAATTGGAAACGAAGCAAAGCGGCAGGACCCGACGGAAAAATTCCGGAGGTGTTTAAATATGGGGGTTACATACTAGTATATATTTTAACTAAGGTACTAGGTAACGTCCGGGAATCAGAGACGGTTCCATCAGATTGGGGTAAGTCACTTATTATACCGATATTCAAGAAAGGAGACAAGTCCTCATGTTATAATCAAAGGGGGATCAGCCTAACAAACACAGTTTCTAAAATCCTAAGCTCAGTAATCATGCACAGACTAAGCCGAACTCGGGAGGAACAAACGAGGGAAAATCAAGCGGGCTTTAGGCCAGGTAGAGGGTGCATAGATCATATCTTCACTCTCCGACAGATCCTAGAACATAGACACAGTTTTAGGCGTCTGACGATTGCCTTCGACTCCGTGAATCGAGAGGTACTATGGCAATCTTTGACTGTGAAGGGAGTGCCAAGAAAGTACATTACCCCTATCAAGGCACTCTACTCAAACTCACGTAGCTGTGTAAGGGCTTATGGGGAATTGTCATCTGAATTGATAACAACCAGTGGTGTCCGTCAAGGATGTCCATTTTCCCCATTCCTGTTTAACTTCATCATAGATATGCTAATGGAAGTATCCTTAACTGAAATAAACGACATTTGGAATCGACTTGTTACCAGGGAATAGTCTTATGGACTAAGAATACGCAGACGACATAGTCCTGTTAGGGGAGGATGCTGACAAAATACAGCAGAGTCTTCTGAACACCTTGAGCAGCAATCTTCGTATGTTTGGCATGCGATTCGCCCCTGTAAAATGAAAGATGCTGCTACAGGACTGACTGGACTACGTCAACTCCTAGCTTAGTAGTGATAGGGAGTGAAGTGATAGAACATGTTGACCACTTCACCTATTTGGGAAGTTGTATCAGCACCAACGGATTGATTGGCGACGAAATCTCAGCACGGATCCAAAAAGCTCGAGCTGCTTTCGCTAACTTACATCATCTCTGGCGTAGGCGTTAGGTGGCATAATAAGGTAAGTAATGTTAAAGGTTAGGCGTAGAGTGTTGGGCAAAGAGGGAAAATCAATCGACGAGGCTATAAAGTTACACAGATTGAGATGGCTAGGTCACGTGCTGCGCATGCCTAACCATCGCCTCCCCCTCCCGACGGGCATTACTAGCTGATATAGGTGCAGGTTGGAAAAGAGTAAGTGGTGTCATGCCAAACAAAAACATGGCCTCATCAATCCATGAAATCCTTGACAGTTGAACTGAGTCAGGTAGGGAGGGAGATGCAGACTTCCGGGTTGGGGCCCGTCCTCGGAACTCTAAGAATCAATGGCTGGAGACAGACAATAGGCGACATGGCTCAAAATCGTTGTCAATGGCTTACGCAGATGTATTTAGTCACTGTAATCTTTCGTATTCCTTTCTACCATTACTGATTCTGTTTCACTCTTATACTTGTCAAAACTCTATTGATTCCCTTCACTCATCCATCTTCTTGTCTACCTTTGTGTGCTATTTGGAACGTGGCAACTCGAACTGCTGCACTTCGGTGCCAAGTTCTATGCTGAATCCAGACTTACAGACAGATGCTTCGGTGATGTCTGATCATGCAACTTTTGGTCAATTGGTGAGTGGTCACCAGCAGCGCATTTCGTCCTATTTTGGGACTCGTCAGCTAGTGAATGTACGTGTATTCCACAGTGAGTGTTGGTGTTCCTACCGAGACATTTCAAACTATGTGTGCTGAGTTCGAGCATCGGTGCCAAATAAGACGAATGCACGTTTTCTTGGATTCTCCTGCTAGTCACCATCCACCTGTTGACTTCAAGGTTCCATATTGATTGTCTCCATAACAACATTTATTTATACATGAAGGTCGAAGGATTTAACTTTATTATAGTTCTATATATATATGATCTTTGTTTTCTGTATATTCAGACTAGAAGAATGTGCCCTTCAAACAACAACAGATGATCCTAACAATGAGAATACTACTGGTGTTAAGCATTTAATTATTGACGGTACTGGTTTTATAACCGATCGTGTGGGTATGTACAGTCAAACGTTCATCTTGAATCGATTTTTTGACTCGACTGTTTATCCATTACTTCATGATATGACAGATCCTGATGCCATTTCAGTAAGTGAATCTCGCATACTTTTATCAATATCACCTCTTGATTTAATAATAATAATAATAATGTGCTTTATTCCGAAAAGAGTACTTGTGATACAGAAAGGAATTCTCATCACTTTTACTACAGTATTGCATCCAGTTAGTACATTATCAATAAATAGAATTCTAAATATATTAAGGAAATCTCAGTTCATTATTACAACAGCACATTGGCATGTCGGTAGCAAAGGTAAAGCTGAAACAGTGTTTGAAGGTGTTAGAAAAGTGGGAGCTGTCTTATTAACTGGCGTAAGCGAGAGGAAAAAAAAACAAAGCAGCACATAACGGAAAAAGAAGAGAGAGAAAAGGAAAAGAAAGAAAGAAAATGTTGTACCTATTGATGATGTGAGTTGGAAAGATGAGGTTCAGTTGTTCTACTGACTATTTAATGAGTTATAGGCATCATGCCTAATGCTTTCTTTGTTGAACAGAACACAGGTCAAGTAGGGTATGGTTGAGTTTTTGTACTTGCTGGTGCGAGCATATAGTTTTCTATATAGGCTTCTGGTTTTACCTGATGAGATGCAAGGGGAGAGTTGTGAATGAAGAGGGTGGTGTGAGTTCGATAAAATGAATTTGGCCCATTTTTCACATGAGTCCAAGTGCTTGCCTGTCGACCAGAATATTAACAAGCTGGTTAGGTGGCACATTGCTTATCCTGCTTGATAAGGTATAGTCTTTCTTCAGTAGCCCGGGAAAAACTAAGGGGAAATAATAGAGAATAATAGGCAGAATGCGAGAGTTAACGAATTGTGGGAGTAAGGGTTGGGTTATACCAGAATGTTTTAACTTCTTGATGTGGAAGGTGAGATGGAATATTTTCTTAGAAATCGCTAAGATATGAGACGACTAGGAGAGATCAGCAGATAGAATGACGCCTAGGTATTTAATTTCCGACTTGGTTTCTATTTCAGTGCCATCTATGTTGCACACCTCGTGAGAGCCAACCAGTTTGTTTAGGTCGGATTTATGCCTAAAGGTGAAATTGACTGTTTGGCATTTGGAGGGGTTTATTTAATATTTGACAACAATTATTTACTGCTAATGTTTTTATTTTAAACTATGTGTTGAATTATGTATGAATAAGGAAATCTAATTTATCAAGTGTTCAGGTTTGCAGAGATTTAGTTGGTTACCGGTTTGATGGCATCGGTTGGAGAATAGTTGGGGGGGGGTCGGTTGGGTGGGTGAGAATACTAGACAGAACTGTTTAGTGCCATGCCACTCACTCAAAGGCCCCCTCAGAATGTGTTGGATCTATTTCCATATTTTCGAAATAAGAATGGTTGAGTTATTGTCGATAAAATTTTTTACTTTTTTTGATAAAGTCTAACATTGGTGTTATACAGTAATATTTACCGATGACGTCATTTCGAGCACAATTTTATCATTGCTCATCGCCAACATATCAAGGCACTACTCACACAACTTTCTAACTTCGTTTATATGATTCCAGTATTTCTCATCCCCTGATTTGTTTGGTAGTAGTATTTTTTATATTTCTGGGATGAATGATGAGTCATCCCTATTGTATGTGTTCTGTTGCATGTAGACTGTTCGATGAACAAAGATTCAGTGAGTGGTCAACCCCCCTCTATCTCCACATACATATACTACTTTTTAGAATTTTAACTCTCTCTCCCTCACCACCCTATTGTGTGGTTGTGTGTTAATGCATACAGTGCAATGTAGTTCTGAGTTGGTTTTTCTAAATTACTTGTCTACGTGGGGTCAATCATTGTAACCTTAGCTAAATTCTTATGTCCTGACAGGAGCGATCTGACTACCGCTGATCTACAGGTCTGACTCATCTGTGCAGTTGACCGAGCTCACAGTCACTGCAAGGTGTATTTTGTAAATGATATTATTTTGTCTAATAAGTTCAGCCTAGGGGTGTCCTTGGACCTACCTACATAGCTTGTTGTGCTTGAGTGAGTTTGTAGGTTTAAATATCATCAGCGTAATTCCTGTTTGTATTAAGAATCCTACGTAGGGAGGGTGTCAGATATCCCCTACCTCCTTATATGGTAATAGTCCTCTAGTTTGGGACTTTTCAGCTGTATACGCCATGGAGGTTGGCAACTAATACCTGGTTACAAGGTGAGCTCGTAGACCATTCAAACACTCTGGCATCCGATACAAAGGACCATGAATTCCAACTTCTGCGAATTGGCTATATATTGTATAAAGAGCAACCGCCAGCCAATATCATAGATGAGTAGCTTTTCTCTTACCTGAATGTCAGGAAGTTGGGATTCATAGGCTGTTGAATTGGGTCCTAATGGCTAAGCGGTTTGTGTAAGATCACCTTTTTAACCTTTAACCCGGCCGATAGCTGCTACCTTGACGTGGTGGTTGGGCTTGCATATCGCAATGACCCAACGAGCTACACTGGCTGGAACGTATGTTCCCGTAGGTCCTACCATGCCAGAAAGGTTGTTTGGATAGCGGTTAGACAAAAAGCAGCTACCCAATCCAATCCTATGACTCAAAATAAATCACAAAATATCATGCCGGATAGGTCGGGGCCCGGATTAACAACGGCCGCGCTTTCTGCTGCCGTGTCACAGGGCAGAAGTGATAAATACGCTACTGAGACACACCAAATAAAAAAGAACAAACAAAAACAGACCGCGTGTGACCGGCCTCAAGCAATTGTCCCCTGAGCTCTGCGGTCACGCAACACTAACCTCCCCTCTATTTCAGGTACCCGAAGACCGACCGACCGAAGGTCGTGGAGTTCGCACCCCGGTGGTGGGTGCATACTGCTGAAATACTTCTGAACTAGGGTAAAACAGTCCTGTCCAGTTACCAATAGTTCTCAAACTAGTATCAAGTCATGATCAAACCTGTAGAAATTGAAATTCACGTATTTCGACACACGTGTCTTAATACGTTGGAAGCTCATCGCAGTCTAGTTGAATAAGAACAAGTAGCGTTGATAAACAGCCGTTGGATAGTTGTTTGTTTGATCATGACACGAAATTGCTTGTTTTGTATAGGTAGTAGTTGTGTGATGTGTCTCCTTTGATTGAGTCAGTTAGTGTATGCATGGATGTTTCTTCAATATTGACGTTAAGATTAGAGCTTGGACACCGGGGTAGGTAGGGTATAAAATTACATCATAGAGTAAACATCTTTGATAAAAGTATACGGTTTAATTGAATTTTAGATTTTCCCGTCGATTGATCGATTGGACCGAAGTGCTCGGTCTCAGGTTGACATGTCTGTCGGCTTCTTGTGCAGATGCTTCGACAATTCCTGGGCATGTATGCGATTAGAAGTTAATTGATGGATGATAACTAGCAGTGGAATCCAGGATAACGCGCATTTCGTCGACAGGGTGGACCGAGCACTTTGGTCCAATCAATCGACGGGAGAATCTGAAATTAAATTGAATTAATACGACCCGTTGCACAAGATGTGGCTCTCGTCGCCCAAGTGGTCTAAAGGATAACGCTTTGGCGTTAGAAACTATGGGCAATGGCTTCGAGCCTCCATGGTGGGAACATCATCACTGACTCACTGGGGAATGCAGGTACATCCAGCTGGAGGACGAGTCCCAATTGGGACGAAATGCGCGTTATCCTCAACTGGATTCCACTGCTAGTTATCATCTACCAATTAACATTTAAAAGTATATGGTGTTATAGAGTATTATTTATTGATGAAGTTTCGATGTTAACTTATTGCTGCTCACACCATCATATCAAAGCCTCTCTCTCTACATAACTTCAAAAAACTTCGTCTATCTAATTCGATTATGCCTTATCTTTCATTTTTTATTAGTAGTAATATTGTCCACCATTTCTCTGGTATCGGCATCGTGAGTACAGTTACTGACCACCAATACAATTTGATCTCAGTTGCGTTACATTTCCATCCATATGCTGAATAGTTAGAAGCACTTCTGGGGACCTGGCTGTTTTTAGTTTAGTTTTCTAAAAGTCATACCTCCACCTTGGTGCGTCGGTGGCACAGTGGTTAGGACGCTTGCCGACCATGCACATGGTCAGGGGTTCGATCCCCGACCGACGCACTCCTTTAACTCGCTAAGCCAGAAATAATGCTGGTGAAGAGGAAAGGTTGGGCATGAGGTTGGCTAACAACCCCATCCTGTAAAATTAAACACTGCTACAGAAACTTCAAGCCACTAGCTTGAAGCATTATGTTCCACTGGGAAAGTGAAGGAAAAAAAAAGCATACCTCCACACCACTGAAGATACCTCATACCTTTAAACAGTGATAAAAATCAAAACAGCTGGTGATCCAGCGAAGAGACTCTTTTCAACAGCGTCGGTGGCACAGTGGTTAGGACTCTCGCCGACCATGCACATGGTCCGGGGTTCAATCCCCTGCCGGCGCACACCCGATATCTATGGTCGGCCTGAATTTGGGCTACCGATATCCATGCTGAAAGTTCCATACTTGTACTGAAAATACGGTGTGGAATCAAGCTGTAAATCAAAATAAAAAATAAAAATAAATTTATTATGAAGCTATACAATCGTATATATATATATACATTAAGGTGTCTGTGTGTCTGTCTGTAACCGACATAGAACTTTGCACCGATGTGCGGCAGTTCAAGTCGCCACATTCCATGTAGCACACAAAGGAAGAAAAGAAAGTAGAAGAAATGCATAATAGAGAGAGACAGTAAACAGAGGTGTGAGACAAAGGAATAGTAATAACGAAGAACAATATAAGTTCATTGAAAATCATAAGTCACAATGCACTATGCATTGAGAACGATTTTGAGCTAGTCATATCACCAATTGTTTCCAGCCTTCGTTGGTTTCCACTACCCGTCCTGAGGACCCCAACCAATCAGGAAGTCTACACCTTCCTATATAGCTGGCTTAGACTAACTGTTGTAGATTTCATTGACTGGTGAAGCCATGTTTTGGTTTGACCGCCGCTTGCTCTTTTCCAGCTTGATCAATCTTATATCAGCTAACATTGCCCCGTCCGTTGTTGAGGAAGGCGATGACTAGGCATACGTCGTAACACATGTCTTAACCATTTCAGTCGATGTAATTTCACAGTCTCGTCGACTGAATTCCCCAGCTTACGTAGCAGTCAATCGATGTCTAACCTCAATATTGCTCACCTTATCATACCACTTCACACGGGAGATAGAACGCAGACACCTATGATCAAAGACAGTTAATCAGCCTTTTCATGTCTTCCACTCTCAATGGCCACCTCTCAGAGCTAGCCATGAAGGAGGACGGAGTGGACTGCTGAGCAGTTCATCCGCCTTTTGGTCGATGGCCAGCCGGATGTCACGTCTACTAAGCCAGAGACGGTGTTAACTGGCATATGCGAAACTAGCCCTCTGTATCCGTACTCAGCTGAGATTTCGTCAGAGATCAACCCGTTGGCACTGGCTGGTGGTACTTCCCAAGTAAGTGAAGCGGTCAACGTGCTCCACCAACTACTTCCCTCCCTATTTCTAAACTAGGAGTCAGTGTAGTCCAGTCCTGTAACATGATCTTACATTTGGCGGGAGTGAATCGCATGCCAAACATTCATAGATTGCAATCCAAGGTGTTCAGAAAACTCTGCCGGATTTTGTCAGTTCCTTTGCCTAGAAGGACTATACCGTCTACATATTCTAAGGCAACGAGATTATTCCCTGTTAGCAAGTCAATCACTGAGTCGCTGAAGTGTGATAGGGTTAAATCCATTAGTTCATTTATGAAGAAATTGAATAGGAATGGGGATAGTAGGCTTCCTTGACGGACACCACTAGTCGTCACCACTTCAGATGACAACTCGCCGTAAGCCCTCACCTGGCTGACTACATGAGTTCGAGTAGAGTGAATTGCTTGATCAGTGCAATATATTTTCTCGGCATTCCCTTTACAGTCAAGCATCGCCAGAGAACCTCTCGGTGTACAGAATCCAATGCCTCCTTTAGATCAAGAAATAAAGATTGTTGGACGCCGGTAAGAATGCCTATGTTCTAGAGTCTGTCGAAGGGTGAAGATATACAATACATATTGGCAACATAAATTTTCTCCGGTGCCTAGTACCTGGGTGTAGACTGCATAGTCGGCGTCCTCGAGACGGTAAAAACCAATGAAGACTCGAGATAATTGGTGATATGACTCAAAGTCATCGTTCTCGGTGTGATGGCTGGCGCTGGCGCATATGCGCTCACTCTTTGTGATGATATATCATATCCAGTAAAACTCTCTTCTCTCATATTACTATTCTCTTTGCCTCACTCACACTTCTGCTTATTATCTTTCTCTCTCTCTCTGTTTACTCTCTTCTGCTTTGTTTGGTAGTTGGAGTGAATGTGGTAAGTCGAACTGGTGCTCATCTGTGCTATGTGTGTTCTACTTTGAAGCCAATCAGTGAGTGAGTGAGTCGGTCAGTCAGTGAGTCATTCTTCCTCTGATAAACATATTGGCAACATAAATTTTCTCCGGTTTAATTTTGAAGTTTCTATTTCTTTTGTAGGTCTCATAATCAACAGACATTCAGTTAAGGGTGGCATTACTTTTTGTCTCTAGTGTGATTATATCACTTTTTATGTTGATTACTACTCATTAGTTTTCTGTCCCTGTTTCCTTGCAATTTTCTAGCTAGTTGTCATAATCCTTTGTATGGTTGTTTTTTTTCTTTTCTTTTTTCATCAAACAGAAACGTAATAAAACAATAGAGAATCCGATTGATCCTTTCACTGATGTTGTACATGCTGAACCGCATATGCACTTTTCTTTGAGACCGTGGAGAGGATACAATAAGTAAGTTTTTGATCCTGCGTATTTGTTAATTTATTACTTAAGTCAATGCAAGAACTGGCGCGGAATTATGCTCCTGTCCATCCCAAGCAAAATACTAAGCCGCATCATCCTGGAGAGAATCAAACATGCCAACCTGGATGAAAAACTTCGACCGAAACAGGCTGGCTGGATTCAGGAGAAACAAGTCATGTATTGATGAAATCGCCACACTACGGACAAAGCTTGGAATGGCAGTCACCTCTCTATCTCAACTTCATTGACCCTGAAAAGGCCATCGACAGCGTCGATCGAGAGGTAATTGGACAACTACTACGTTACTACGGGGTGCCACCAACAATTATACACCTCATCCAACATTTTTACGACAATGCAGCATGGCAAGTAATCCACAACGGGCAACTCACGGAATCCTTCGAAGAAGTGAAGACAGGAGTAAGACAAGGGTGATTGCCTACTATCGCCAATGATTTTCTTGATTGCAGTAGACTGGATAATGCGACACACAGCGGGGAATGAGGGAATAGGTATAACATGGACCCTCACAAAAAACTTGGAGGATCTGAACTTCGCTGATGATATATGTCTGATTTCCCACAAACTGGAAGATATGCAAATGAAAAGCAACAAGTTGGCACAAGAAGCAGCCAGAGAAGTTAGAACCTCAGGTAAACATGGAGAAAACAGAGGTGATGAAGTTTCCTGGACAACAACAACAACAACAATCACAGGCAACAATCAGCCAGCATAAATGGGAGAAATCTGAAAGAAGAAACCTCCTTCACCTACCAACCTGGGAAGCATCGTTTCAACTATAGGCGGACAGAACTGACAAGAATATCAAAGCGAGGATCGAGAAAGCAAGACAAGCTTTCGGTATTCTCAAGTCTGTGTTGAGGTTGACAGCACTTAGCATCAAAAATAAGATCGGGATTTTCAACTCCAATGTGAAGTCAGTCAGTGCTACTCACTATACGGATCAGAGACTTGGCGCGTCATAAAGAGCATCTCAAACAAACTACAGACCTTCATTAACAGTTGTCTTCGCTCAATACTCAAGATCAGATGGCGGGCCAGAAAAGATAAGCAACAGGGATCTCTGGCGTTGAGCGAACCAACACAGCAGGAACCGATTGTGCAACAAATGGGCAGGAAGAAATGGAGATGAATTGGCAGGCCATACTCCGAGGAAACCATCAAGTGACATCACTAGACAAGCCATGGCTCAAGTGGAACCCGACCGAAAGGGAAGCGGCGAGTTGGTCGTCAGTGCGAGGGTGGGTGACTTGGAGGAGGTCATGTGAAGAGGAGATGAAAACGTGTGGGCAGACTTGGAGCCAGGTGAAGACTTTAGCAGAGAATCGAACTCAATGGAGACGCACGGCTGCATAAGCCCTATGTTCCTCTAGGAATTAAAGGATATAATAATTATAATACTCTGTATGCACGGAATTTCCTTTAAACATTTTCATTACAACAGCAGCAACCCAATAACTTACCAAGAGAATTGTTTACAAACGCTATTCAAGAAAACCAGGGCTTACTTATTTCAGCACTCCTACCTAATGGCAAATTGAAGAGATATTTCTCTTCCAAAAGAATGTATATCTGCGAAACTTCATCACATCTACGCCCAAGCCAACCAACCACATCAAATGTCCCCAAGGGAAACACAAAGAAAATCGCCTTAACATATGTATAAGACATCTCAGATATCAGTGCAACACCCTTCAAACCTTTAGTAATTGATATCGCACACAAAAAATAACAAAATCATTTCACTCAGCGAAAGAAAATAAAAACCAAAATCATCTACAAAATAAGTTGAAACGACTTTGAAAAAAACACTACATTGGCCAAAGTGGACGACGTCCTCTTCGTCTTCGTATCTATGATTATGAACTAGCCGTCAAAAGGCATGACATCCGCTCCTTCATATCTCTGCATACAGACGATCATGGACATCAATTCGACTGGGACAAGCAGCTCTAAAATATTAGACAGAGGAAACACCAAGAATGCCAAAGAATTTTTAGAAGCTTGGTATTCCAGTGAATGGAGGTCAAATAATAGACACATTGACATAGACATATTTACCAGTCGATAAGAAGGAAATCACACACACACAAAGGGTAAAACTTGAGGTCAAGAAAACAATCAGTACCAACGCAAGTAGCTCAAAGGGTGTTTTTTTTCCTTCACGTTCTCAGTAGAACATAGGGCTTCAAGCTAGTGGCTTGAAGATTCGGTAGCAGTGTTTATTTGACAGGATGGGAATGCTAGCCAACCTCATGCCCAACCTTTCCTCTTTACCAGCATTATTTCTGGCTTAGCGAGTTAAAGGAGTGCGTCAACCAGGGATCGAACCCCGGACCACATGCATGGTCGGTGAGCGTCCTAACCACTATGCCACCGACACACTGCTCAAAGGGTGTGGAAACACATGAAAACAACCAATCACCTTCAAGGCCCTCTACAAGGAGGGATGATTCATAAACTCACTCATAGAGAAGTCTAGAAGCTCATATCAAGTTGTGAAGTATACGCTGAAGATGTTGCCTAGTAGGGCAATGAAAGCTTCGCAAGTAAACCACCCCGCTAACTAGAGCTCAGAGAACACAACTACACCAAAATCATAGTGAACGTAGAGAAGACTGAGAGATGATGAAGATACTCACCGAATAATGGGAGAAATTAATCGACTAGAAAGCACCGTTTCAACTACAGGCGACTGGATGGATGAGGATGTGAAAACCAGCCAGAATCGCAAAATGCCAAACAAACCTTCACCACTCTGTAAGAAGTTTGGAAAGGGAATGCCGAGAAAATACATTGCACTGATTAAGGTACTCTACTCGTACTCATGCAGCCAGGTGAGGGCTTATGGCGAGTTGTCATCTGAAGTGGTGACGACTAGTGGTGTCCGTCAAGGATGCCCATCATCCCCATTCCTATTCAACTTCATCATAGACGTACTAATGGACTTAACCTTAACACACTTCAGCGACTCAGAGATTGACTTGCTAACAGGGAATAATCTCGTTGCCTTAGAATATGCAGACGATATAGTCCTTCTAGGCAAGGACGCTGACAAAATCCAGCAGAGTCTACTGAACACCTTCAGCAACAATCTTCGTATGTTTGGCATGCGATTCGCCCCTGTGAAATGTAAGATGATGCTGCAGGATTGGACAACACCGACCTCTAAATTATAAATAGGAAGTGAAGTGGTTGGTGGAGCACGTTGACCGCTTCACTTACTTGGGAAGTACCATCAGCCAGTGCCAACGGGTTGATCTCTGACGAAATCTCAGCTGAGTACGGATACAGAGGGCTAGTTTCGCATATTTCAGTTTACACCGTCTCTGGCTTAGTAGACGCGATATCCGACTATCGACTAAAGGGCGTGTGTACTGCCCAACAGTCCGCTCCGTCCTCCTTCATGGCTAGCTCTGAGAGGTGGCCATTGAGAGTGGAAGACATGAAAAGGCTGATTAACTGTCTTTGATCATAGGTGTCTGCGTTTTATCTCCCGTGTGAAGTGGTATGATAAGGTGTGCAATATTGAGCTTAGGCGTCGAGTGCTAGGTAAAAAGGGGAAATCAGTCGATGAGACTGTGAAATTACATCGACTGAGATGGTTAGGACATGTGTTACGCATGCATGACTAGTCATCGCCTTCCTCGACGGGCAATGTTAGCTGAAATAGGATGGGTCAGGCTGGAAAAGAGCTAGAGGCGGTCAAACGAAAACATGGCTTCACCAGTCAATGAAATCTACAACAGTTAGTCTGAGCCACGTGGGAAGGTGTCGTCTTCCTGACTGGTTGTGGTCCTCGAGATGACGGTAAAAACCAATGAAGGTTGGAAACAATTGGTGATATGACTAGCTCAAAATCGTTCTCAATGACTGGCTGGCGCAGATGCATCCACTCCTTGTGACTTATGATTTCTAATGAAACTCTATTGTTTTTCGTTATTACTATTCCTTTGTTTCACACCTCTGTTTACTGTCTCTCTATTATGCATTTCTCCTACTTTCTTCTCTTGCTTTGTGTGCTGCATAGAGGGAGTGTTGCGACTTGGACTGCGGCACATATGTGCAAAGTTCTATGTCGAAAACCGACCGACCGAGCGGAAGCCTTCTACACTACCCAACATAAACAAAAAAAATTCGGATGTTAAACACCAATGTTAAGTCAGTCACTTCTTCTACATGCTTCAAAAACTTGGCGTGGGTGTCATCATAAGTACTTTTGTCGGTAACTGCCTTCCCTGACTCCATACTGAGGATGAGATAGCCAGGCAGGCAGTAATTAGCAAGGAGAACCTTAGCAGTACACCGACCCAGCCAAAAACCTATCGCCTAAGTATTATTACGAAGAAAATGGAGAGGAATCGGACACAAGCTGAAGAGACCGTTGAATGACATCTCGCGCCAGGCCATTGCTCGAGTGGAGCCCCAATGGAAAGCGACGAGTATGTGGTGCGTGTGTGTTCGAGGGTTAAATAGAGGAGTTCGTTTGAAGTGGAGGAGGTGGTGAGCGATTGTGGGAATCGTGGAGTTGACTAAAGGAGGTTCAGAGAGAACAGGGCAAATGAAGACGTGTTGTTGAAACCATGTGTTCCACTCCGGAACCTAAGGGAATAACAATCATAGTAGTCAGCAAGGCGGATCTGCAACCTTGAACTAATTCTTATCCGTTTTGAGATTCGAACCCGCATCATCCAGTGCTGCACTCAGAGACGTTTGATTGGACACTAGTGAGTAACTAGTGAGTGTTGTAGTGTGTCTAGTCTTATTTTTGGTACAGACTGAATTGCATCAATCAAGTTTGCAATGTGGACACCATGCTATGTGGCTGGCTTGCCATCACTGTTCACTTTGAGAGTGATTGCACCGTGATTGATGATGGTGTCCAATACAGTCCCACAGGAGGTCGATCGCGAGCTCGAATAGCTTTGTGTTAACGTCTCTGACTGCAGACAGGCGGCATATGGTGACGCGGGTTCGAATCTCAGAAGGTTGGACATGAGTTTTTTCTTCAACTTGGTTGCAGATACATACGCCTTGCTGTGACTGCCTTGTGCTCGTCAACTAGCACGAAACCTAGGTCCACATATAGGGCTCCCTGTGTGGTCGATTGCCTCCAACCATCTAACATAATAATAATAATTTGCTTTACTCCAGAAACAGTACTAGTGGTACATTGTGGAATTTTCAGCACATATCTACAATATTTGCATCTAATTTTATCCAATGTTTAAAAGGAGTATTTTCAAAAAATAAAAAAATGAAATAAATAAGTGAATATTAAGACAACAACAGCAAAAAAAACAACTACAAAAAACACATGATAATTTTTAAGAAATGCGAAAAAATATCATAAAACAGCAAGGAAAATAAACAGCATATAGTAATATTTCAGTATTGGGTAGTGGAAGCTATGATGTGATTATGCATGGTGACAGTAAAGCTATAGTCATACGAGAAGTTATGAAATAATATTTAAGAAAGTTTATCGCCAAGACGGTCAGTTAATTTGGTTGAAACAACTCTTAACAATCATAAATTAACATTTCAGGGTTGTTGTTTTGTTTTTTATTGTCAGGTCTAATGCAGTGTTTGTAGTGGTAGTGTGAGTAATCCTGCATAATACAAAATTTTTTAAGGTGGTGACTATGACGTTCACAACCAATGACTGTCAGTTAATAGTGCCGAAAAAGAATGAAAAATAAGAAAAAACAACCACAAAACTAATAATTACATGATGGCTAATGACAGGACAATTTTGTACTACTCATAGGGCTAATATAGTCGGAACCAGTAGATACACAAAGAAGAAATACGGTAAAGTACAAAAGAAAGCCAATGTTAATAATTTAGGTAGCTAAGTATGTTTAAGAAGGAGTTCACTATAGAATACAGAATAAGAGGGAAATAAAAGAGCCTAAAATTATGTTGTTAACAACAAAGCAAGTCATACGTTTCGCGCTTAACATTGTCTCTGTCACTTAGAACACGGGCCGAGTAGAGTATCGTTGAGTTCCTGTACTTGGTTGTACGAGCATAGATTATTTTATACTGATTTCTGGTTCTACTTGTTGAGATACAAGGCTAGAGTTGGGAATAGCAGGGATGTTGGGGGTCGGAGAGTATGGTTTTTGACCATTATTCGCATGTATTCAGATGCCTATCAACTAATGTAGTGACGAGCTGACTGAGTGTTACATCACTAGTCCTACTAACTACCTTCAACATCCTTTTCAGGATGGTATAGTCCTTTTTCGGTAGATCAGGAAAGACTCACGGGGAGCAGTAAAGTAGAATAGGGCAAGATACAAGAGTTGACAAATTGTGAAAGTAGAAGTTGGATGATTCCAGATTGTCTAAGTTTCTTAATGTAGTAAGTTAGACAGAACACTTTCTTAGAAATCGTTAGGATATGAGATATATAACATCAACAATTCACTGTGGTAACAAGCCACCTATTTTATTTATTTTTTTATTATTTATTATTTTATTTTTTATTACAGCTTGATACCACACCGTATTTTCAGTACAAGTGTGGAATTTTCAGCATGGATATCGGTAGCCCAAATTTCACAGGCCGACCATAGATATCGGGTGTGCGTCGGCAGGGGATCGAACCCCAGACATGCTGGCCACATTGCAAACTTGACTGACTGACTGACTGATAGAGTTCAGTCTGCACCCAAGATAGAAGTCGACACATTACACCAGTTACTACTGACTTGTGTTCAATCAAAGTATTGACACTGTTATTGATTCCGAATATTTTTCGTATATTTTTTGTTGTTGTTGTTTGTTTTATAGATCTGAATATCCAAACTTAAATGTGGACGAGTTTGTGTCTCAAGTTTTTGATCCACTTTATATGAGTTTAAAAGAAGCCGAAGATCAGTTTGCTAAAATGCGAGAATCTCTGAAACTTAACAAACCACAAGGTACATTTCACAAAGTGTTTATGACTCCTACAGTACAATAAAGTTGTAAAACTCCATTATGGATAAGATTTTTATTTTGATAAACTGTCACACAGTGTAGTGTTATACAGTAATATTAACTGATGATCACGTTTCGAGCACAATTTATCATTGCCACTCATAATCATATCAAGTCACTTACACAACTCACTTTCTTGCTTCATTTATATACATGAGTGGAACTGATGATTAGGCATTTGAATACAAATCAGTAATATAGGATAATGTACATTCAGAAATAATAATAATAATATGAGTGTTATTCATCAATTACAACAATAAGATGGGAAATAAGACGAGTGTTTTTATAGTCGAAATAAGTAACTTGTTATACTGTTATGATGTACGTGAATTGAATTAAAATAGAATTTTGAGATTATTTATTATCCTCCTCTGATTTGACCGGCGGTAATAATATCTTCCATATTTCTGGTATTTGCACTGAGTCATTTCTCTTGCATGTTTTGGGTGTAGTCTCAATAAACCAGGCAGGATTCAGTTATCAATCTTTCTCTCCACCTACTCATATTACGTTTTAGAATTTTAACCCCCCTCTCACCCTATTGTGTGGTTGTAAGTTGATGCACGTAGTGCAATTGCTGAGCTGTTTTCTAAATTAGTTATCTTCTCGGAGTCAACCATTCTTACCTTAGCTAAATTCTTATGTTCCGACCTATATAGTTGACCTCACAGTCATTGCAGGGCATTTGGTAAATGATATTATTTTGTCTAATCGGGTCCACCGGGTCTTTTAGCCTACAGAGCTTGTCTGTGAATGTACATTATCCCATATTGATTTTTATTCAAATATCTAGTCAATTCCACATATGTGTATGTAAATGAAGGAAAAATGTTGTGTGAGTGAGTGAGCTACTTGATATGATTATGAGTGGCAATAATAAATTGTGCTCGAAACGTGGTCGCATCAGTTATTATTACTGTATAACACTACACTGTGTGATTTATGAAAATTAAATCTTATTCATAATGGAGTTATACTCAGCCACCACAGTGCCCAAGTTTTATGCTTATATCATTAATAAAGTTGTTATGTTGTAAGTATGTTAAATGTTAGTTAGTTTTGACTAGTCAATCCTCTTCTAACCAAATGGTGTTCGAAACTCCTCTCCTCCTCTTTCCATATTAGTTTGTTTATTAGACGTATCACACAGTCAGTGAAACAGTTTCGAAAACAATTTATTGTTCATAATCATATCCATTATGATCACACGACTTTGACACTTGAGTTTTATAGTTTTCTTTGTTCTTTGTTGAATCATTCCTATTACACGTATTCACTCTCAGTTGATTCGATAAACAAAGCTTCTGTTATCAATGTCTCCCTATACCCTGTGACATTAGATTTTACAAACTGTCATCCTATCCCATCCAGGCTATTGTATGGTTGTGTGTAATTGCATGTGGTGTAGTGCTATAGCTGAACTATTCTCTAGATTTCTTGTCTTATTCGGGTCAACTAATCTAGATTTTGCTGCAAGGTTTTTATGTTCAACTAGTCTGACTGCGCCTGTTCTACTACTTCCACCTACGTATTTGACGTGACAATCATCGCGGTCAGAGTATTAGATAAACTAAATTGTTTTGTTTTAAAGGCTCCACTGGCAGGATTGATCCTTTAACCGACAAAGCTTGTTTCTAATTCAGTTTGTTGGTTTGAATGCCATTTTTATTCCTGCCTTGTTAAGAATTCTGCGTAAGGTGGTTTCCGAGGTTCCTTCCTTGTATGGAATTACTACTGATGATTTAGATTCCTTATTGTTGGTGTTGTCTTGCTCAGGAACAGTCAGACTAGCCGAGTATAAAAACCTAGCAAAATCTAGGTTAGTCGACCCGAATAAGATAAGAAATCTGGAGAATAGTTCAGCTATTGCACTACATGCAGTTGCATACAACCATACAATAGGGTGGGATGGGATAACAGTTTGAAAGTCTAATACAACTAACAGGGTGGTGAGTGGGGAAGATTGATAACGGAAGCTTTGTTTATCGAATCAACTGAGAGTGAATACGTGTAATAGGAATGATCCAACAAAGAACAAAGAAAACTATAAAACTCAAGTTTCGAAGTCGTGTGATTATAATTGGTGATGTGTATGATTATGAACAGCAATAATGAATTGTGTTCGAAACAACTTTGTCATCCAGTAAATACTAATACTGTTTCACTGACTGTGTGATACATCTAATAAACAAACTAATATGGAATTAATTACTACCACAGTGCTCAAGTTTTACACATATATTAAAATGACCTCTCATCGTCTGTCTATTCACCTATGAGATAGTCATGATAATTTAATTGTTATGTAGTTGCCTATTCTGGTTCCACTCGATTGATCACTTGGTGCATGCTGTCACTTAACGGCTGCCTCCCCAGTGTGTTTTGGATCCATTTCCATATCTTCTATATAAAATATCGATCTTGTCCACTGTGGTAGAGTGTGTAATTCCATTGTGGATAGAATTTTTATTTTGATAAAGTCTCACTATGGTGTTATACAGTGTGATATTCACTGATGATGTCGTTTCGAGCACAAATTTATCATTGCTCATTGTCAGCATATCAAGGCACTCACACAATTTTTTAACTTCGTTTAATATAATTCCATTAATTTTCATCGCTTGATCTGCGCTAGTGGATTGCACTGTTAAAATACATAAGTCAGGTTACCCCATGCGGCCAATAGTATTATTATTATTGTTTCCTTTAATTCCTAGAAGAACATAGGGCTTCAGCCACGTGTCTCCATTGCGTTCTGTTCTCCACGAACGTTTTCATCTAGCTCCACGTCTGCCCACACGCCTTCATCTCCTGTTCACATCACCTCCTCCAAGTCACCCTCACCCTTGCACTGACGACCAAACGCCGCTTCCCTTTCGGGTTCCACTCGAGAAATGGCTTGTCTAGTGATGTCACTTGATGGTTTTCTCAGAGTATGACTATAATCCAAATCAGCTCCATTTCTTCCTGCATATTTCTTGCACAATCGGTTCCTACTGTGTTGGTTCACTCCCACAGATCTCTGTTGCTGATGTTTTCTGGCCGGCCATATGATCTTGAGCGGAGTATTGAGAGAAGACAGGCGTTGATGAAGGTCTGCAGTTTGTTTGAGGTGCTCTTCATGACGCGCTGGCCAAGTCTTTGATCCGTATATAGTAGCACTGACTTACTTCACATTGGGGTTAAAAATCCGGATCTTATTTTTGATGTTGAGTGCTGTTGATCTCCACACAGACTCAAGAGTAATGAAAGCTTGTCTTGCTTTCTTGATCCTCACCTTGATATCCTCATCAGTTCTGTCTGCCTGTAGTTGAAACTATGCTTCCCAGGTTGGTAGGCGAAGGAGGTTGCTTTTTTCAGATTTCTCCCATTTATGCTGGCTCATTGTTGTCTGTTGTTGTTGCCGTTCGTCAGGAATCTTCATCACCTCAGTTTTCTGTATGTTTACCTTAAGGCTTATCTTTGATGCTTCTTGTGCCGACTTGTTACTTTTCGCTTGCAATCTTCCAGTGTGTGGGAAATCAGACATATATTATCGGCGAAGTCCAGATCCTCGAATTTCTTTCTTGTGTGGGTGCATTTTATGCCTGTTTCTTCGCTGCCCATTGTCTGTCGCATTATCCAGTCAGGAAAATCATTGGAGGTAGTAGGCAGCCAGCCTTGTCTTTCTCTCGTCTTCACTTCTTCGAAGGATTCTGTGAGTTTCCCGTTGTGGATTACTTGGCTTTCAGCATTATCGTACAACTGTTGGATGAGATGTATAATTGTCGGTGGCCGACCAATAGATTTCACAGAAATACCCCTACTTACGAATTATCAGAACATTTAGCTCTAATATTATGTCTCATTAGATATCGTCAAAACTCTAGGCCAGCTGACTAACTTATATGAGATGAAAAATTAACTAAATGACATTCAATTAGAGATTAATGAAAAAGCGGTTAGTTTTGATATAACTAGTCTTTATACTAATATACTAATCAATATGGCAGCCGTAGAAGCAGTTATAAAAGAACTAACTGCGGATCCTGAACTTACTCATAGGACAAAGCTACCCATTTTAGGAATTCAGTTATGCCTCACGTCCACTGTCTTTAAATTCCAAGACAAAATACACAGACAAACAGGTGTAGCAATAGGATGGATCACCCAATATCCCCTATCGTGGCAGATACATTTATGGATAGCTGGGAAAATATGGCACTTAATACGTTTAATCCTACTCCAAAAATATGGTGGAGATATGTGGACGACACATTCACACACAGTGTTAAAAACAGAACAGATCTCTCTCTAGCATCTTCACAGACACACACACACACATAAACTCACGAGTAAAGAAAATAAAATTCACATCCCAATATATATATTTAGACTTTAATTTATCTCACCTGTTATTTCTCTGTGAAGGCAGACTTAGTTAAGTGTCTAGCAAACTGAGCAATAGCATTAAACAGTACAACAAAAAACGTAAATGAAGAATTGAAACAGACAGAAGAAGAAGCGTTGGTATTAAATAACTAACTATCCTATAAAATTCATTGAGAAGACCAGAAAGGTCAAAAGTGACATAAAAACAATGGTGAAACTAATAATGGTAACGTAAATAGGGGAGATTATAAGGCATCTACAGTAGTTTTACCATATAAAATGGGTACATCAGACTCTACGTAGGATTCTTAATAAAACAGGAATTACGCTGGTGTCATTTAAACCTATAAACTCACTCAGGTAGGGCAAGCCCTGTAGGTAGGTCCGAGGACACCCTGTAGGTTGATCCAATTAGACAAAATAATATAACTTATAAAATACCCTGCAATGATTGTGAGCTAGGTCAACCACCTACATAGGTGAGTCAAACCGGTAGACCTGTTCGAACATAAGAATTTAGCTAAGTGTAGAATGATTGACCCCACGAAGATAAGTAATTTAGAAAAACCAACTCAGAACTACATTGCACGCATGCACTAACGCACAACTAAACAATAGAGTGGTGCTGGGAGGGAATTAAAATTCTGAAAAATAATATAGGTATGTGGAGATAGAGGGCGGTTGATTACTCACTTAATCTTTGTTCTGACTGACTGACTGACTGGTTTCAACATACAACTTTGCACAGATGTGCACCACCTCCAGTTCCCACACTCCCTCCATCTGCCACACAAAGCAACAGAAGACAGTAAAGGGAAATTCAAAGCAGAAAGAGAAAATGATAATAAACAGAAGTTTGAATGAGGCAGAAAGAATAGTAGTAATGTGGAAGAAGAACTATGGGGTTGTAGTGGATTTGATAAATCATCACAAAGAGTGAATGCATCTGCACCGGCACCAGCCATCACGGAGAACAATTTTCAGCCAGACATGTCACCAATTGTCTTCAGCTTCCATTGGTTTTTAGCATCTCGAGGAAACCAACCAGGCAGGCAGTCGCTCAGGCAATCCAAACTTCCCTACGTGACTCGCTGACTTAAACTAACTGTTGTAGATTTGATTGACTAGTGAATCCATGTTTTCGTTTGACCACCACCACCACCACTAGCTAACTCTTTTCCAACCTGAACCATCCATCCTATGTCAGTCAGCTAACATCGCTCGTCGTCGTCGAGGAAAGCGATGGCTAGGCAGACAGACATTTGTTGTCAACACATGTCCAGCTCAGTCGATGTTACTGCTTCACAACCTAGTTGATTGATTTCCCCGCCTCGTCCCTTACCCAGCACTCAACGGACCAATTCCCCACTAACCTATTATACCTCTGAACATGGGCGATAGAACGTAGACAGCTATGACCTAACACAACTAGCTAACCATTCCATCTTTTCCACTCTCACTGGCCATATCTCATAGCCAGGGAGCCATAAAGGAGGACAGAGCGGACTGCTGAGTAGTATACACGACCTTTGGTCGACAGCCATCCACATAGCACGTCCGCATAAGCACGCTAGAGATGGCGTAAGTTGTCTAGAAAATGCCAAACCAGCCTTATGTATCCCTGTCCGTGCTGAGATTTTGTCAGCCATCAGATCAACCCGCCGCTGCATTGGTTGGGTTGATGCAATTTCCGAAAAACGTGGAGTGGTCAACATGCCCAGCCAACCACCACTTCACTCCTACCTATCTGTAAGCTAGGCGTAGTCGATTTAGTCCAGTCCAGTCCTGTAGCACCCATCGTCTTACATTTGACAGCAGCACAAGCGAATCGCTCCCCATGCCAAACATTCGAAGATTGCTGCTCAACTCTCAAGGTGTGTTTGGTGTCAAGACTCTGCCTCTATTTTGTCAGCGTCATCACCTAGACAAACCGATCTACTTGACCCTTTAATTTTCGATGATACGGCGGTTGAGGCTTATGTTCGATAGTATTATTGATGGTGTGGTACTCTTGGAACTGTTGACAGTCAACGTCTGTAAGTACTGTTTTTTCCACTGAGCATGAAAGTTTGTGACTGTGTCGGCTGTTTTGAAAAGGCATTGATTGATAAGAATGCCAAAGTGAATGTGAATTCGGAACCAGATGCGCTGTCTGCTTGTGGCCATGGTTTAGGTGGTAGTTGATGAGGAATGTCCACTTTACAAAATGGACGGGACGATGTGTGTGTTTATCCATCCTTACAGTGGAGACAGCCAATTGTGAGTAATCAGAGGACACACACGGCATTTCGCTGTTACTGTTATGAATGTTTACAATATAATATATGTATATTATTACACTTGTCATTCATAGATGAGAATACATTCTTCTCACGACTATTATTATTATTATTATTATCGTGGTTTTCGATATTTTTTTCTTTTTAGATCATAGATTAGCATCTGAGCAGTACCCTGAGATCACATTTCTCGGCACTGGATCATCGACTCCAAATAAATACCGAAATATCAGCTGCATTCTCATGCAGTTAGAGTAAGTCTTGACCGTTTTCCTTTTCTTTTTAAAAAAAACAATATGAAGTAATTTTCATCAGCCTAGTTTGGGAATCATTGGCAGTAAGCACCCACTGCACTGGGATTCAAACCCAGGACCTTCCGGTTACAAGACAAGCTAGTAGTTCATATACCATTCAGCCATTCACTGGGACCCGATTCAATGGCTCGCTCATGGTTGGGATCGTGCTAAATCACAAATTGGTAGAAGTTAGAATTTTCATGATGATTCCCAAACTAGGCTGATGAAACAGCTGCCCAGTACTCCCTGCTTTACAGCGGTTCTCCAACTGATATCAATCCGTGATCAACTTGTAATAACATAACTAACCCTACAAACCAAACTTTGTCTGTCTGTGTGTAATCGACATAGAACTTTGCACCGATGTGCTGCAGTTCAAGTCGCCACACTCCCTCTATGCAGCACACAAAGCAAAAGAAGAAAGTAGGAGAAATGCATAATAGAGAGACAGTAAACAGAGGTGTGAGACAAAGGAATAGTAATAACGAAGAACAATATAAGTTCATTGAAAATCATAAGTCACAATGCACTATGCATTGAGAACGATTTTGAGCTAGTCATATCACCAATTGTTTCCAGCCTTCGTTGGTTTCCACTACCCGTCCTGAGGACCCCAACCAATCAGGAAGTCTACACCTTCCTATATAGCTGGCTTAGACTAACTGTTGTAGATTTCATTGACTGGTGAAGCCATGTTTTGGTTTGACCGCCTCTAGCTCTTTTCCAGCCCGACCCATCCTATTTCAGCTAACATTGCCCGTCGAGGAAGGCGATGACTAGTCATGCATGCGTAACACATGTCCTAACCATCTCAGTCGATGTAATTTCACAGTCTCATCGACTGATTTCCCCTTTTTACCTAGCACTCGACGCCTAAGCTCAATATTGCACACCTTATCATACCACTTCACACGGGAGATAAAACGCAGACACCTATGATCAAAGACAGTTAATCAGCCTTTTCATGTCTTCCACTCTCAATGGCCACCTCTCAGAGCTAGCCATGAAGGAGGACGGAGCGGACTGTTGGGCAGTACACACGCCCTTTAGTCGATAGTCGGATATCGCGTCTACTAAGCCAGAGACGGCGTAAACTGAAATATGCGAAACTAGCCCTCTGTATCCGTACTCAGCTGAGATTTCGTCGGAGATCAACCCGTTGGCACTGGCTGATGGTACTTCCCAAGTAAGTGAAGCGGTCAACGTGCTCCACCAACCACTTCACTTCCTATTTATAATTTAGAGGTCGGTGTTGTCCAATCCTGCAGCATCATCTTACATTTCACAGGGGCGAATCGCATGCCAAACATACGAAGATTGTTGCTGAAGGTGTTCAGTAGACTCTGCTGGATTTTGTCAGCGTCCTTGCCTAGAAGGACTATATCGTCTGCATATTCTAAGGCAACGAGATTATTCCCTGTTAGCAAGTCAATCTCTGAGTCGCTGAAGTGTGTTAAGGTTAAGTCCATTAGTACGTCTATGATGAAGTTGAATAGGAATGGGGATGATGGGCATCCTTGACGGACGCCACTAGTCATCACCACTTCATTTTATTAACATTCTATATGTTTTTTGAAGTCGATTTGTGCTGGTGGTGGGGTTGGTCATCGTCGTAATTCCAGCCTTGACAAGCATCATTTCATTGTGTAGATTCGCTAGGTGATGGACTCTAACTAATGAAAAAAAAGTATTTCCAAGTGTTGGTTTGTGTAAGGATTAGGTTTCTTTTTTACGACTTTAACCACGGATTGATATCAGATAAAAATCATTGAAAGTCAACAAGGAGAGTACTGGACAGCTGCTTCATCCTAGTTTGTCAATAATCGGCAGCAGGCACTCACTGACAGAGTTCGAACCCAGGGCCTTCCGGTTACAAGGCAAGCTAGCTGGCTCGTATACCATTCAGCCATTTACTGGGACCCGATTCAATGGTCAGTGCATGAATTCTAACTTCTACCAATTCATGATGTTAGCGCGACTGGTACCAACCAATGTTATCGACGGGAAATCCATCCTCACACACTTGACTGGATGCACCTCACTGGTCACGACTTCTTACTAGAACTTACTCCAGGAAACTTCGCCTTGTAGCAAATCAGTCACTAGCGAACACCTAGTGGGTACGTACTGCTGATGATCATTCACAAACTAGGCTGATGAAACAGCTGTCCAGTACTCCAGTGCTGGTTTTCAATGGTTCTCTTACTGATATATCAATCCATAGTCAAACTCGGAAAAAAAGTATTTGTCGTTGGTCAGTTGTTTTGTACCCTGTCAATTGATTGAGTTTCAGGGTTTCTGTGTTACATATTTTTTATTTTGTCGGCATCCTTGAGTGTGTGTGTATCGCTTGCACACTTATATCATTGTAATTGCTTCGTTGTTTACGTTTTAGTCCGGATAACTTTATAATGTTGGATTGTGGAGAAGGCTCTTTAAGCCAACTCTATGCATTATATGGTTTGGAGAAAGGGAATGAAATCCTACGGAAAATTAAGTTAATTCTAATCACTCATATGCATGCTGATCATCATGGGGTAAGTCGAAAGACTCGTTATTTTATCACATTTTATAGCGTTGATTATGTAACTGTAGAGGAATGTTTTTATTTGAAATTCGGTACCTCTATATAGCCAATTAACTATGTACACCTTATCCACCGTCTCTGGCGTAGGCGTGACATCCGGCTATCAACCAACCAAGGGACGTGTGTACTGCTCAGCAGTTCGCTCCGTCCTTCTTTATGGCTCTGAAACATAGCCAATACGAGTTGAAGACATGAAAAGGTTGTCTGTTTTTGATCATAGATGTCTACGATCTCTTTCTCACATTAGGTGATATAATAAGGCAAGTAATGTTGTCGTTAGGTTAGGCGTAGAGTGTTGTGTAAAGAGGGAAAATCAATCTACGAGGCTATAAAGTTACATAGATTGAGATGGCTAGGTGACGTGCTGCGCATGCCTAACCATCGCCTCCCCTCCCGACGGGCATTACTATGTGATATAGGTGCAGGTTGGAAAAGAGTAAGTGGTGTCATGCCAAACAAAAACATGGCCTCATCAATCTATGAAATCCTTGACAGTTGAACTGAGTCAGGTAGGGAGGGAGATGCAGACTTCCGGGTTGGGGCCCGTCCTCGGGACTCTAAGAATCAATGGCTGGAGACAGACAATAGGCGACATGGCTCAAAATCGTTGTCAATGGCTTACGCAGATGTATTTAGTCTCTGTAATCTTTCGTATGCCTTTCCACCATTACTCATTCTGTTTCACTCTTATACTTGTAAAAGCTCCATTGGGTCTCTTCACTCATTTTCTTGTCTACCTTTGTTTGGTATTTGGAACGTGTCAACTCGAACTGCTGCACTTCGGTGCCAAGTTGTATGTTGAATCCAGCCAGCCAGTACACCTTATCTTCAAATCACCATTGGCTCAGATCTTCTGTGCTATGCTGTGCTGCATCTGCCCTTCCTTTGTATTGATTGTGTTTTTTTTGTTCCTTTCACGTGTCCCATGTTTCCGCGAAGTGCTGGGTCATTTACTTTCCCTGTGCATTAAATCTACCTCCCTGCTGTCTTTGATATTTTTTTGTGCCGATGGATGGTCTCTTCACATCCTGACATTTCTGACAAATCTTATCAGTAGTAGTGTAACAACAAAAGACAAGGGCCAGTTAGGCAACAGATCGTTTATTAAGGAAATCAACACATATTTATATATTTTATTGAATTTCAGATTTTCCCGTCGATTGATTGGACCGAAGTGCTCGGTCTCAGGTTGACATGCCGGCTTCTTGAGCAGATGCTTCGACGATGCCTGGGTATGTAATTAGTATTTAACTGGTGGATGGTGACTAGCAGTGGAATCCAGGATGCGCGTTTCGTCCTATTTGGGACTCGTCAGCTGGATGTACCTGCATTTCTCAGTGAGTGATGATGTTCCCACCGAGGCTCGAACCCAGTGCCCATGGTTTCAAACGCCAAAGCGTTATCCACTAGACCACTTGGACCCGTTGCACAAGAGGTGGCTGCTCTCGTGGCCCAAGTGGTCTAGTGGATAACGCTTTGGCGTTTGAAACCATGGGCACTGGGTTCGAGCCTCGGTGGGAACATCATCACTCACTGAGAAATGCAGGTACATCCAGCTGACGAGTCCCAAATAGGACGAAACGCGCATCCTGGATTCCACTGCTAGTCACCATCCACCAGTTAAATACTAATTACATACCCAGGCATCGTCGAAGCATCTGCTCAAGAAGCCGACATGTCAACCTGAGACCGAGCACTTCGGTCCAATCAATCGACGGGAAAATCTGAAATTCAATTAAATCAATATGACCCGTTGCACAAGAGGTGGCGGCTCTCGTGGCCCAAGTGGTCTAGTGGATAACGCTTTGGCGTTTGAAACCATGGGCACTGGGTTCGAGCCTCGGTGGGAACATCATCACTCACTGAGAAATGCAGGTACATCCAGCTGACGAGTCCCAAATAGGACGAAACGCGCATCCTGGATTCCACTGCTAGTCACCATCCACCAATTAAATACATATTTATATATTTTCATGTACATTATTATAGATTAGTTAAGCAAACAAACACAGTCTTCTGATTGGTGGTTGTTTCTCACTTAAAGTTAATCTTTCATCTATTTGTGACTGTTTCTCGAATGTCAAATCGTCTATATGTTAACTGCATCCGCTTACGCAAAGTCTGCTGTGGTCGGTTTTGAATCAGTCTTTGTTCATATTTTCTCATGACAAATCTTGAGAACGTAAATATTGACGTAAATTACTGTCTACCAATTTGGCTAGTAGACAGCTCTCACAACAGTAGTACACACTACAATTTTTGTTTTTCCAAAGTCTCATATGAAATTGGTATATATATTCACTTTCACTACAGACTCTATATTGGTTACAATTTAAGCAAAGTCTAAACCCAGGGAGTGTTCTGAACCCGAACAGTCTCCTCGTAGCTCTTCAATCGCAATTCTTCATCAAGATTCACCCACCGGGATTCGAACCTAGGACCTTCCAGGAATAAGTCTAGCACATATGGATCATTCAGCCATTCTCTGAAATCTGACCCTATAGTCCGTGAATTCACAAACCTCTACCGCCAGCAAGTATTACAGGTGAGTGCAGTAACTATGTCTTCTTTCCCTAACTTGGCGCACCCTGCTGGTCACGACTTCTCACGACACAAACTCCAGGTAACTTCCGTAATATAGAGCCAGTCGCTAGTGAGAATCAGATTAATCAGCTCGTCACTACATTAGTTGATAGGCATCTGAATACATGCGAATAATGGTCTAAAACCATACTCTCCGACCCCCAACACCCCCTCTATTCCCAACTCTAGCCTTGTATCTCATCATGTAGAACCGGAAATCAGTATAAAATAATCTATGCTCGTACAACCAAGTACAGGAACTCAACGATACCATACTTGGCCCGTGTACTAAGCGACAGAGACAATGTTAAGCGCGAAACCTATGACTTGCTTTGTTGTTAACAACATAATTTTAGGCTCTTTTATTTCCCTCTTATTCTGTATTCTATAGTGAACTCCTTCTTAAACATACTTAGCTACCTAAATTATTAACATTGGCTTTCTTTTGTACTTTACCGTATTTCTTCTTTGTGTATCTACTGGTTCCGACTATATTAGCCCTATGAGTAGTACAAAATTGTCCTGTCATTAGCCATCATGTAATTATTAGTTTTGTGGTTGTTTTTTCTTATTTTTCATTCTTTTTCGGCACTATTAACTGACAGTCATTGGTTGTGAACGTCATAGTCACCACCTTAAAAAATTTTGTATTATGCAGGATTACTCACACTACCACTACAAACACTGCATTAGACCTGACAATAAAAAACAAAACAACAACCCTGAAATGTTAATTTATGATTGTTAAGAGTTGTTTCAACCAAATTAACTGACCGTCTTGGCGATAAACTTTCTTAAATATTATTTCATAACTTCTTGTATGACTACAGCTTTACTGTCACCATGCATAATCATATCATAGCTTCCACTACCCAATACTGAGTTGTTATTATTATATGCTGTTTATTTTCCTTTCTACTTCTTGGTATTTTTTCGCATTTATAATTATTTTTGTTTTTATCCTGTTTTTTTTCTGTTGGTGTCTTTAGATTTATTTATTCCTATTCAATTTCATCATAGACGTACTAATGGATTTAACCCTATCACACTTCAGCGACTCAGGGATTGACTTGCTACCAGGGAATAATCTCGTTGACTTAGAATATGCGGACGATATAGTCCTTCTAGGCAAGGACGCTGACAAAATCCAGCAGAGTCTACTGAACACCTTCAGCAACAATCTTCGTATGTTTGGCATGCGATTCGCCCCTGTGAAATGTAAGATGATGCTGCAGGATTGGACAACACCGACCTCTAAATTATAAATAGGAAGTGAAGTGGTTGGTGGAGCACGTTGACCGCTTCACTTACTTGGGAAGTACCATCAGCCAGTGCCAACGGGTTGATCTCCGACGAAATCTCAGCTGAGTACGGATACAGAGGGCTAGTTTCGCATATTTCAGTTTACGCCGTCTCTGGCTTAGTAGACGCGATATCCGACTATCGACTAAAGGGCGTGTGTACTGCCCAACAGTCCGCTCCGTCCTCCTTCATGGCTAGCTCTGAGAGGTGGCCATTGAGAGTGGAAGACATGAAAAGGCTGATTAACTGTCTTTGATCATAGGTGTCTGCGTTTTATCTCCCGTGTGAAGTGGTATGATAAGGTGTGCAATATTGAGCTTAGGCGTCGAGTGCTAGGTAAAAAGGGGAAATCAGTCGATGAGACTGTGAAATTACATCGACTGAGATGGTTAGGACATGTGTTACGCATGCATGACTAGTCATCGCCTTCCTCGACGGGCAATGTTAGCTGAAATAGGATGGGTCAGGCTGGAAAAGAGCTAGAGGCGGTCAAACGAAAACATGGCTTCACCAGTCAATGAAATCTACAACAGTTAGTTTAAGCCAACCAGCCACGTGGGAAGATGTAAACTTCCTGGTTGGGGTCCCCGGGACGGTAAAAACCAATGGTTGGAAACAATTGGTGACGTGGCTCAAAATCGTTCTCAGTGGCGCAGATGCATCCACTCCTTGTGACTTATGATTTCCAATTAAACTGTTTTGTTCTCCGTTATTACTATTCCTTTGTCTCACACCTCTGTTTACTGTTTCCATTATGCATTTCTTCTACTTCCTTCTCTTGCTTTGCGTGCTACATAGATTGTGGCGACTTGAACTGCCGCACATATGTGCAAAGTTCTATGTCGAAAACCGACCGACCGACCTTTTTTGTTTGTTTAGTACTCCTTTTAAATATTTGTAGAACTAGATGCAAATACTGTAGATATGTGCTGATAATTCCACAATGTACCACTAGTACTGTTTCTGGAATAAAGCAAATTAATATTATTATTATTAATTATCAAGCGTTGGTTTGTGTTGGGATTTGATTGATTGGTTACAGGATTTCTTTATGAGCTGATATCA